TTTTGCTGCTGCGTCTCCGCTTCTTGTGCTAGATCATTTAGATATTTCACTTTATCTGCCCTTATATGCCTCCTAACTTCCTTGTTGGCTTCTGTGTAATTCTCCTGAGCTCTAGCTTTAGCAGCTCTAGTTTTGCTATTTTTTAATTCTGCCTTTTTACTTTTCCTATCTTCAATCAGTTTAATAGTTTCTGGTGTTATCCATGCTTTATGTTTCCTTTCTTTCTTGCCAAGAACTTCTACGCAAGATTCATGCCAGATTCCTTTGATCTGATCCCAGCAGACTTCTGTGTTGACTCCTTCAGCCAACTGCTGCAACACCTGGTACTTATTAGAGACCGTAACTGAGAACTGTTCCTTAATTTCTTTATCTCTGAGAAAACCTACATTATATTGGTTTCTGTGATTATAAGATGTTATCTTTTTAGTTTCAACTTGATTTTACTTATCACCAGGAAATGGTCAGTAAATACATCGGCACTTCTGAAAGCCCTAACATCGTAAAGGGATGATCTAAACTTTTTGTTAATACATATGTGGTCAATTTGATTAGTTGTCTTATGGTCTGGTGATTCGCATGTTGCCTTGTGTATTCTTTTATGGGGAAAAATACTTCCACCAATAACATACTGGTTACCTGCACAAAATTTGTAAACAATTCTCCATTTTCATTCATTACTCCTAGACCATGTCTCCCCATAATTTCTTCATAACCTGTGTTGTCTGATCCTATCTTAGCATTCAAGTCACCCATCAAAATTTTCAAGTTGCCCTTTCTTTCATTATTTATAATATTTTGAAGCTGCATGTAAAATTCTTCCTTAACAGATGAATCTTTTTCATTTTTTGGTGCATAACACTGTATTATTGACATGTTCACCTTCTGTTTTACTGTTCTAAAAGATACTCTTATTATTCTGGGACTCACAGCTTCCCATTCTATTAGTGCCCGGTCTGCTTCTTTTGATAGCATCAGGGCCACTCCTTCACTGTGCGGCGAATTTTCCTCTGTGTGTCCTGAGAACAAAATAGTTTCTCTTGAATTAAGAATACTTTTCCCTGTCCCAGTCCATCCAGTTTCACATAACCCCAAAATACTAATTCTATAATGTTTCATTTCCTTTGCTACTTCCATTGTTCTCCCTATATCATAGAGAGTTCTAACATTCCAGGTGCCAATTCTGGAGGTTTTCCTAGCTGAGAGGAGGTAAGTCAACGATCCAGACTCCTTACGGCTTTCTCCACACCGTGTCATACTTCTTCTATTTGAAGAGCCTCCCCTCATCTTGGTTGGCTGGATTTTATTTGCTTCTCTTTTTGACTTATCCATGGTTGGTTGGTTTTTGTGGCTATGGTTTTTACTTGATGAGATAGCCAACCTCAAGCCCAACCCTACCCTTAGTCGCCTCTTACGACATGCCTGGTAGGGTGCAGTGTCACTAATCTTTGCTTCCCGTGAGGGCCCCGGTGACACACGGGCGGTATGTAAATGTACTCATCCCAAAAATGCTATTTACAGATAATAGACGAAATGCTGCAAAAATTGTCTACTGCGGAGCAGTTATATTTTATTACAAATATCTATTAAATGTTGGTGAAATTTCCAGTGAAATGTCTGTTGATATAATACTGTAACGCTGTATCAAGACCGGCTCCATCTGATGTGCCATGCTGCTGGCGTCACCAAACCAGGCTAACACAACGGTAATGCGGCGATTCTCAACTGGGTTTCAGGGGTGCCGCGGCAATAAACAAGAATTTCTCCAAATCTGCTTGACAATAAATTTGCACTGGTTTTTTTCTTCCTCTTAATTATTCAAGCCGCTTAAAGGTTAGGTGTGCCGCGAATATTTTTTTTTTTTTTTTTGTTCGACTAAAAAAAAAAAAGTTTAAGAAACGCTGCGTTAAGGTATCGTTAGCCCGGTAAAATGACGTCATCAGCATGACGGTCAGCTGAAGCCGGTCTTGGCTGTCTCATTCCCCTCATCGTTTTTGTGTGCAGCTAAACGTCACATAAGGCTAGCAGTCGTTTTGTCCCGGGGTTTTTAAGGCCGCCTCGAGTGCTGAAGGACCCAGGTTCAGACCTCGGTAAAGGCTGGAATTTTTTACGTGAACTTCTATTAATTTCCCCTGGTCTCTGAGTAGTAAGATCCAATGACCATGTGTATTGTTGCGCTAGTTAAAAAAATCCCTTAGCAGTTGGAAATCGAAAAGAATAGTCTAGCAGTGCTGGCCGGGCAAAACTTGAAGATAAATATTTAACCACAGTATTTCAGGAACCTCACTAGCACTACGGAGTTCGTTCAGAATTTGGTTTAGAAGAAGAAAGGAACACTAATGGGTTACTACTCTTGTGCCATGATGTTGATCCGTTGTTCATACCATCTAACCAGTCTGTTCGTCCATTCTTTTGTATCCTTTAGAATCACTTGTCGACTTTGGGCTTTTTCTTGGACGTCCCCCTTTCCCTCGTCCCTCTACTTCTTTTGTCAGACTGTTGTTGAAGGTATTAATATAACGCAAAGGTTGAACGGGGTTTCTGAGACCTGACCCTGGATGACAATCATCAGAATGGTGGTACTTTGTGTCACCGGGTGTTAATCGTTCCTTGTGCTGTCATCGTGTGGTTAAACGACACTTACTCAGGCATTCTCTCACTCACTCAGTCACTCACTCAGACACTCACTTATTCACTCACTCTCTCACACCCACTCACTCACTGACTCAAAAACTCACTCACTTACTCCCTCACTCACTTACTTACACACACCCTCAATCAATAACTCACTCATTCACTCAGAGCTTCTTTGGTGACTCGTTGCTTGTTTCTTCTTAAAAGATGTCTAGTATATCGCTTTATTTATTCTCTTAAAATAAATGTTATTGTAAACACATCTTGTCAATTATATATAATTACTGGTATCCGTTTCGTTAAATGTCTTCATGAACCGACTTTGACACATTACAGACATTTTGTAGAAAACATGTATTAAATTATCACTTACATAAAACTGAAATCAGCTACAAAATCCAGAAAAAGAATGTGTCGGTGTGACAAGCAACGGTAGCTGTGATTGACATAGCTGATGAAAAAACGTTTTTTTTTTTTCATCAAGAAATGTTAAAATTAATTAAAGTTAAAGTCGAGAAAGTCTACTTAATTATCAATAAACTGTGCAATCTAATGTTTGTGTCTTCTTTGTTTAAATTCACAACCCGGATATATTGCTTTGATCTACGCAACTGTCCAACACGGCTCAGTCTCTGTCCATCGTCTGCCAACAGCGTCGCATAAATAACGTCAGCTATAGTTCCAGCAGCCATCCGCAGAGAATTCCACAAACATTTCAGCCGTTAACTGGAAAATGCTCTCATGAAAACAACCCTCGACCTTACAAATTCCAGACAAAGTGCTTGAATTCTCCGTGACGGTGACTTCCCCTTTTTCATCTGGAAGAATTCCCGTCTTGTCCCGGAGATTTTTTTTTTTTTTTGGTGGGGGAGGGGGGTGGTGAAGGTGGGGTGGGGGTAAGAATAGTTTCACTGCACCCATGACAAACCTGCCGTAAAAAGCGCCTAATTAATAGTGTTTCTTTCGATGCCTGTGTGCATCTGTCTAAGAGACCAGGAATGAACAGTCTACAGAACTGTGACTCAATGAGCATGTTCAGGAAGTTTGAGAAGGGCTGGATCCGAAGACAGTGGCTGGAGTCTCTAGAGCGGTTTGGGTTGACAAATATCAGTTTCATATTTGTGCCCGGACACGCAGACGTGCAGGGACGCGAGCAAGCTGATCGGCTTGCATGTATGTAAAGCTACTGGGGAGAACGGACGAACCGTGGATCAGGCCGATATTCTGAATGTTCTACGAAAAGTAAGACGTTTTCAAGCCGCAAGTGATGACGGTGAATCTGCAACAGTGACTCCTACTTCAAGAACAGCAGGCTAAAAGGGGGAACACCCATGTGGCCAGAGTTTACAACCAGTGAAACGCAAACGAACAATATGCAAGAAAGCCAAAAAAAAAAATAGGTGAGTGGGCTTTAGAGAATGAGTTGCTAAAGAGTGGATCCGAGCTTTCCGCCAGTTTTGGACACCATTTCATGGTTTAGATCTTGTAATGAGGCGCATAAACTCTGCCCACTAACTAATTAACTAGCTTACATACAAAAAATAATTATGGACAAAATAGATGTTTAAGGCCATCGGGCAATAACTCAAGCATCTAAAACATGGACCAAAGTCACAGATGGGTGATGTGGAGGAACACCCATATGACGTACATTGTCCTCCAGAGTTTACAACCCCCATACCATGAACGCCAAACGAGCAATCATCGCGGTACGTTGGAAGGTCGGACTCTCATTAATGCTTTTGTATATTATGTTCAAATATATTATTTCTACGACCCCAAGGGTTTCCCCTATATTTATTTAAATGAATTTAGTAAGGCCAGCTTTCCTCAAAGGATGTAAATATCAGTTGTATTATGGCGATCGGGCTGATGAAAATGGATGGCAATAAAATGTTCACGGAAACAATCTGTTGGCCTCCAACCTTTTATATGCATCAATTACTACGTTAAGTATTATAATTCCATATCGACACACACACACACACACACACACACACACACACACATACACACACACTCGCGCGCGCGATAGAGAGAGAACGAGATTTTAGTCTGGAAGGAACCGATTTTTCAAGTCTACAAACGTTTTTCTCACAGCCGCTTTAAAATTAGTGTTCATGCTTATATATACAAAGAAATTCAATAAAGAGTGAACAAAATACAATTGCTGTAAAGGACCATAAACGTAAACTGGAACTGTATACTTTACATTAACTAAAGCCATAATCGCAGAAGGACATGTACATAGAACGTGAATGCCACACATTATAGCACAAAACTTCACACTTTTCCAAGCTGGTGTTCTGTAGTTTCTCCTAACGCTATTGGTTAGAGGATTGGATAACTGTCTGTCTTGCGCAGCTTTTTTACGCCTGTAAGCTAAAACAGCAATTTTTATATAGAGAGTTAAAATCAAAAATAAGTTCACAATGTAAACTACTGACATAATCAGAAAGTATTCGGTGGGTGGGTTGCTGTTGATACAAAGTTTATGATACTTAGTATCGCCGTAAACAAGTAGTGGGATTGCTCCATAAACAATAGCTAGAATCCAGTAACAAATAATTATTGTCACAACACGCCTCCTGGTTATGTGTTTGATGTAGAAGAACGGATGGACAATGTTGATGTAGCGATCAGCTGCGATAACTCCTAACTGGTTCATGGACAACATGAGAGATGAGTACGAAACTCCCATCAAGAATGTATCCAACAAAACTGCGTTGGCGACCATGTTATTAGATAAGGCTGTGTTTAATGTTGCATTGATGATACAAGAAACAGCCCAAAATATATCAGACGCGGTCACGGACAAAACAAGCATATTTGTATTCGTGTGGAGTGTTGGGCTTCGCCAAATGATAAATGTTATTAGTAAACTTTGAGCGATGACTAACACGCTTAGAGCAGTCCAAGAAATGCTGAACGGAACAGCGTAATGTTTGAAATCTTGTACACACACAGATGTGAAGTTATCCGACATGATTTTCATTTCAATTCAGTGTCCAGTGACAGTCGGGAGCCGTCGTCTTGTAATTATTTCACAATCCACACAGTTTCAGCCAACAAATGAAAATGAACTGATGGGTTCCTATACAACCACATAACTGAGACATACTCTATGCTTGGATTCAGTATGTGTCCTCGATGCTTTGAACTCACTTCAATGACTCTGATATGCATGCATTCCAATTCAAACTGTGAGCGTACAGCGATTCAGGATACAGTGGCAAACTAGTGAATAAATTGATAACTTAGTTTACCATCTTCTGTTAAATATATACAGCAAACCACACTTCATAGCGTATCTTTTACTGCTGCTAGAGACCAGATATAGTGTAAAGAAACCGGAGGAGTATTTTATCACAGACTGATATCAATGGATAGATCAATAGCAGTGTTTTAGCTTCTATCTGTACACGTGCATTTATTTAGTTTCCATTAGTCGGCCTATTATTTGTTTGACGTGCTTTATGTTATCAGTTAGGCCGTTTTAATAGTTTAATTGCTACTACTGTAGCTGATAACTCTAACGTTCCAGTAAACAATGCTAAAGATGTCCTTGAAATTTAAAAAGTTTGAACTGAACATATTTAGAACTAGAAATAATTTTAAAACAGAGGATGTTTTACGATGGGTGGCTTGTTTGGTCGTTGACAAACAGTCTGAAGCTAAGCTAGAGGAAACAGGTATCGCCATCTTGACAGAAACAAGATTTTCAGCGCCAGAGATATCATCCAGGATCGCACTGGTATCTTTTGCCTTTAACAAACTGTCAAACATCTGGAAGTCAAAAACATTCAGCAAACACACAAAACCTAAAATCTTCAACTGGTGTGTGGTTCCAATGCTAACTAGTGGCTGGAAAACAGAGGTAGCTCTAGATATAACATTTAGACATTTTTAAGAACAAAAGTCTTAGAAGAATACTCAATCTCCACTGGACCGATTTCGACCAAGCAAAAGAATGTATCCAGTTTTATAAGAAAGGGCCGCTGGAACTATATCGGCCATGCATTCAGAATGGATAAGACAAGACTCCCCCACCCAATTTTAACACCGGAAAGGGGGGAACAGCGGGAAACTGTTGTGCGCTAAATGAGTTGCCACTAGCCAGCACCCTACCAGGTGTCTAGCACCGTCATACATTTTATTCAACAGGATACATGACTCAAATGCAAAGAAGTAGTTTTTGATCACAGTTGAACAGGAACCTAACTCAAAAGAAGTTTTTTCCTCACAGTTGACTCTTCGCTCTCTCTCCATTTTCTCCTCTCTCTCTCTCTCTCTCTCTCTCTCAATTTGTAGCGACCTTTCCTTGACCCTACAGCTCGAAGGACTACAGCGTCCCACACTTTGGACTCGCCGTACAGCTGAACAGGACGAATTCTCCCATTCACTAGACATTGATATTATTTCAGCGTACAACACGGCTGACTGCCGTACTCCGAAAACACACAGCTGTCGTCATCTTGTCGAAGGGCTCCGATGACAGACAGGACTTCTACAATAAGTCCCCTCTAGCACACAGCTCTCGTCGGCACCACTCCCCCTGTTCTGTTTCACTAGTGGTCCTCCTACATTTCACTACGTCGCCACCCAAAACAGGTACTACTGGAGTCTTCCGTCCCCTGGACTTACTTCGCCAGCGGGACCATACCTTCGACCAGTACCGCAACCTCGACACTTATTGAGACCTAAATGTCTGATAGTCGTACGGTATTCTTGTCTGTTAATAAACTCGAGAGAGATATCACGGACCCTGACTTGGTCTCTTACTCTCGCTTTCTCTCTCTCTCTCTTTTCTCCCTTCTCTCTCGACTGCCTCCGACTGAATACTCAGCCCTCTAATTTATCCCCCTCAAATCCGTGTAGGTGGATGATGTTACACGAGAGGCATGCTCGTAGGGGCATTCTCGTGAATCATGATCCTGTGGGTGTTCTCGAGACTCACGCTCATGTGGGCGTTCTCGAGGATCACGCTTATGTGGGTGGCTGATGTTACCTGAGAATCACGCTGTCACTCAATTCACACTTTCCCTGTTTATCTCGTTAGCCATGCTTTTCAGCCCCACACAGTAACGCACGCGTCCACTTTCTCGTGGTGCTACAGAATTACTCACACACCACTGTCCCTTCACACAATATCACAATATCACACTTCACCCAAATCAGCGCGCAACATCAAATCCTCCCCTCTCCCAACTGACAACTAACCTGAAATAAGTGACATGGTCAGTTGTTGAGTTAGAACCACTCCTTGTTGCGGGCTGATTTCATAATTATAATAATCATTGGACATGTGATATCATAACATATCATAACATTTATGTAGTTAACTAAAGTATCGTTGCATATATCAGTACAAGCACACACATGGATATTTACTCTAATTTTAACAACTATGTGCGTTTGATACAGTGTAAAGCGGCCTTCATACAGGTAGTGGACATCCTTGAAACGCTGTGTGGTAAACCGTCACAGTTCCCCTTTTCTCGATGCTGTATTCTGTCTCTCGCTTGTGATAATTTTCTGCAGGCATACATGACCTGGATGTAATATGGAAGCACGCCGCTCAAATCGACGTCACACACGTCATATGCAACATGGAAAGGAAACATTTTATTAGGCAACGTAAAATGGTATACAAGTGAATGATTTTTGTAAATCGTGTAATATTATTGCGTATTGCTCTGCCCATTCTATTTTTTTTTTTTTGGCAAGCCTTTCCTATGTATGACGTAGATAACGAAATTGATGGTTAAGTAATGGGGAATAATTTTTAATACAAAGATTACAAACATAATGATCTTACTTATTTCTTTATTATGATAACCGGGCATTTCATGACTGACTTTATGCGAATAATTTCTTTTTGACTGAAGATGGGTGGGTGTTGAACAACTGGCCTTTGTGCACTGAATCCATGTTCTTGCTTGGACTGTCAATCAAATCACTGTTGAATATGGCTCTCATTCGACAGTTTTGACCTCAGTTTTATACTGGATAGGCCGAGGATATTTTTTTATCCTTACAGTACTTTCTGGGTACCAGATGAGGCATATTAATATTGCTTTCGCCATCCTCATGTACTTGTTTAACCGCCTCATCAATTGCCTGGTTACAATAAGCTACTCCCATATCTTTATGCCCTGGACTGGTTATTCCACTATTACATCAGCTACTGGGTGTTTCAATACGCATACTTCTGTTAACCCTTGAAAATAACAACAGTTAATATAAACTTTTGCAATAGGGTACCTTTCGATATTGCCACCAAAAGTACATGTTATACTTTTATCTAGGTATGCTGACTCTGGTATGAGATACAGAGCATACGTTAGCTCCTGTGTCCCGTAGAATAGTAGCCTGTAATCGGTTTACATACCTTTTATGTAGTGGTAAGCTCTCTCTCTCATATATATTGCTGTTAAAGCTGGAACAATTATTTCTGACTCTTGCCCCATTTGTATGTCTTGTTCTGGTGGTTCAGAAGAGTTTATGTTTTGTGCAGCATTACACTGTTTCATATGCTTTGAACAATATCTAGCCAGATGTGGTCCTCTACATATATAACATTCTATCGATCTTCGATACCACGAGTTCCATCTGGTTGGCGGTCTGTTTCCGTCATCTTTTCTTTTATTTCTGTAGTAACATGACTCTGATTCATGTCGCCAGGATCCCCAGTGAATACACCTTGGTTGATACTGTGCTGCCCCTCTTCCTGGAGTTTCATATTCTCTTTCTGGGCTATGTCTTTTGTCCTGAATTCTGTAGTTAGGGTTACGTCCCCTGTTTGGTAACTTTACCTGCAAGCTTGCTGCTGCCGGGAAAAGTTCTTCCATACTCTGCTTCTGTATGGGTTTTCCTCGATGTGCAGTAATGTACTGCTCTCCCAAAAATGCCATTTCCTCTATTGTTTGCGGTTTCTTTTCTTGAAAAAAAAAAGGCAAACAATTCTCTACTACAAGACGACAAGACTTTATCTTTTAATATTAGGTCAACAAGTTTGTCAAACGCGTTGCCAATATTTGCTCGTGCTAACCACCTGAAAAAGAGTGTTTAAATTCAGCAAAAGATGTGTCACCCGCTTGGTAAGGCATCATGAAAGCATTGCCGATATCCTTCTTCAGTTAGTTAATTGGATGCTAGCAACTTCTAACGCACTGTAGCAAATGAACTTCTTTCTTCTGTTGACAGGTTGCTAAACGTAACTAATGTTTTTACTGTTAACAAATCCCGTAAGCTTGAGACCCATTGTGATTCAGGAATCCCTGCGCATCTATGAGCTTATTTGAACCTTTCAATAAAGGAATGTAATTCATCTTTAAGAAGATGTAATTTAAGAAGAAATTTAAGAAATTTAAGAAATTTAAGGTTTTAAGAAGAGTAATTTGGTTTTTTTTTTTCCACATTTTCGCTTGAGTGGTTTGAACCCTTTTCTTTCATTAGCGACTCTAACCTCGCTATTTCTCATTCATTTTCTGCAATGGCTAACTCCCATTTCTCTCTGATGAGCTCTTTCCGCAGCTCTCTTATCTCTAGCAGATTTTTCTTTTTCTTTTTCTACTTCTCTAGCAGCTTTTTCTTTTTCTCTTACCTCTTTCATCCTAGCTACTTCAAAGCTTAGAATGTCTTGAGACTTGAGTCCTAACTCCTTAGCTATGTTGACAAACTCAGCAAAAGACATTTAGACTAACTTATGCCACTGGGATGGATACAAATAGAACCCTGTGCAGAACCATCATCAGGAAAGGTTTTACCATGGGCTAATGAGCATACAAGATCTAAACCAGGTGGCAACGAACCGACAGACATGGAGAGCTGCGACCTCTGCCCTATGCGCCTCCCTAAGTCCAAGAGGAAAGACAAACTAATTGTGGGTGATATAAGTATGTACTGACTATTTTTTAGGTATAAAAAAAAACACGAATGTCGATTTCTGATCGACATGAAAGTGCTACCATTGAAACACGCTGTAGTCGCCGT